GGGTCTTTAACAGGTCTGTTTGGCTGGGACTTTTGGTTTTCCCTCTTAAAGACCAGCCTTAACCCCAAATCATTCTGGTCCCAGACCAAGCCCCACTTGGTCACTGTTTGGGCCATGATTGGCTCAGAATGAATGTAAATAACAATTGTTTCTGTTTTTGTCAAAAATCCTGAGGGTCTTTCCCTCCCAGATCTAATTTTTTTTAAAAGCGTTTATTAAGCCTTGATCACTGAATGGGCCCTGCCCCAACCAAACGGAGACCTGTTAAAAGACCTTAGCTTGAAAAGGCCAAGGTCCCTCACTGCATGCACCTGGGCCATCTCCAGTTGTCCTGATCTATATCTGGCCACTAGACCCAGATGGCTCCTAAGGAGAAAGTGAGGCTGGTGACTCTGCACAGGCCTGCCTCACTTAAATCCAGTTCACTTGAATATCATGGCATCACTTCCTTCATGTCATGGTCCCCTTCAAGAACAAAGAACAAACAGCAGCAGCAAATAAAAATAGCTCACATTTTAGTATTTAGTGTTTAAAGGTTTACAAAGTGGTTCCTCACAATAACCCTTTGAGCTAGGAAGTTATTAGCCCCATTTTACAGGTAAGGAAACTGAGGCCCAGCAAGGTAAAGTAACTTGCCCAGAGTTACACAGCTAGTAAGTGTCTAAGGCAAAATTTGAACCCAAATCTCCTGAATTCCAAGTCTAGTCCTGCTATGGCCTCAGTGAAGAAAATTGTAGGTTGTTGGCCAAGTGTAGGTTCAGTACTTAGCTCTTCAAACAGCTGCCTCCGATGGTCAGGCCCTTGGGGGGGGTGGGGAGGAGGGTCCCAGGTTCAGATGACCATTTGTGTTTGGTGTCTAGGTTCTGACTACCAAAAGTGTAGGAACCCTCTCTCATTCATCACTGTGACTCTGCCCTCTTGCAGAGGCTGCCATGGAAAGGGACCGCTACATGAGTCCTATGGAAGCCCAGGAGTTTGGCATCTTGGACAAAGTGCTGGTGCACCCCCCACATGATGGAGAGGATGAACCAGAGCTGGTACAGAAGGAGCCTGTGGAAATCCCTGCTCCAGCTGGGCCCTGAGGATGGATGAACCTGCGCCTCCCTGTGGACAGTGAGGAGTAGCCCCCAAATGATACTCCCCTTGTCTACACTGGTTCTCCCCTGACCTTTGCACTGTGGTGCTCTGTCCTAGGACTCCTGTTGTAGCTTTAGATTTCAAGGGGTTCCGGCGGCCCATCTGGAGGTGAAGCAGAGGAGCAGTGGCTGAGCTGGGCTACTGCCCCAGAACTGACTTGCCAGAGAGCATGGATTTTAAATTAAAACTTTGGTCACTTTTTGGTCCCTGCTGTCTTCCTTTTTTTTTCTTCTTTAACCAAGGTAAAAGAAAGCTTTAGGTATTCCTTCATTCAGCAAACATACCGGGGCAGCTGAGTGGCTCAGTGGATAGATAGAGCACTGGCCCTGGGGTCAGGAGGACCAGAGTGGAAATCCGACCTCAGACACTTACTAGCTGTCTGGGGACCTTGGACAAGTCCCTTAACTCCGACTGCCTCCAAAACAAACACAGACACACCAACTGTGTGATCCTGGGCAAGTCACTAACCTCTCAGTTTCAGTTTCCTTGTCTATAAAATGAGGATAATGATAGCACCTACCACCCAGGCTTGTTGTGAGAGGACACATAAGTGCTGTGCAGATCTTTGTAAGTGCGATATGAATGCTCTTACATCACTGTTTTTATGCGACCTGAGCCGCCTGGTGCCCATGAAGTGAATCACAGCCCTTACCCCTATGTATATGAGTCTCAGTTCCCAAGCTGTGCACCCCTGTAAAATAATAAAGATTATAAGCCTTTCACTATCTGCCTCACAAAGCTGTGAATGCTACAGCCACTTTAGAGTGCTAGATTAGAGGACTCCAAAAGATTGCTGCCCTGTGACCTTGGGCCAGTCGTTTCTTCCCTGGTCTGTTTCTTCTTGTCACATGAGGGGGCTGGACTAGAGAGAGTTCGAGGTTCTCTGGGCACGCTTCCAGCTGCAAGTCTACTACCACACCCTGATGGCAAGCCTGGACCCCGGACAGTTTAGGAATGGACATTAGAGGCCAGCCCCTTCCGTTTAGAGGCCCAAGCAAAGGTGGGGTTTGGATCCAGGCCCTCCTACTCCTTATCTGTCATTTCCACTGGACACCATGTATCTGTCCGGATTTGTTCACGTCCTGAGCTCGCCCTGGACTCTGCTCTCCTCTCTCCCTTCCCCTCGCAGCTCTGACTGCGGCTGTCCGGAAGCAGGACGGGCCTGGCTGGCCATGGATGGGATGTGGGGGCTCTTTGCCGGGACGGTATGGGTCCACGTGCGATAAGCTCCAACGCCCCCTCCACCTTTGAAAGGCCCTGAGCCAAGAGCCCGGGCCGGATGTGCCGTCACCCCCAGCTGGACTCAGGCTTCGCCGCCCCGGGGCCTCCGGCCCTCGGAGGTCAGCGGGACGGGGGCGGGGCCGTGAAGGTTAAGGTGCTGGCGGCGCCCTCCCAAAGATGGGGGCGTGGCCTGGGAGCAGCCAATAGCGTCAGACCTCCGGGAGGTCACGAGCCAATCGCTGAGGGGAAGGGACGGCGGCGAGAGGGAGGGCCTTAGCTTGGCTAGGCCTGACCTGGCCGGGGCGGCTGGACCATGGTCTGCAGCGGGCGCCTGGCCCTGGGGGCGCTACGGGCCCCGGGGCTGGGAACCTGGCCCTGCTGGCTGCGGGGGTCCGGGCCCACCGTGCTTCGCCGGCTGTGGGGCGCGGCTGTGGTGCGGCCTGGCTTCTTGAGCTCAGTGGAGGAGGAGACGCTGAGGCGGGAGCTGGAGCCCGCGCTACGGCGCCGGCGCTATGAGTACGATCACTGGGACGCGGTGAGTGAGGGCGGCCGGGACCGCTGGCCGCTGCCCCTCCCTACTCTCCCCCCAGGTGCTACCATCCTCTCTAGATCCTCCATCTCCCCAAGTTGCCTGTGCCCCTGCCCTCCTCAGTCACCTCTGTCCCCACAGCCGCGCCCCCAGTCTTCGCTGTTTCGTCTCCGAGGTTCTCCCGGTCCTGTGCTCTGACCCTCCTGTTCCTCTGTTCTCATCCCGCCCCCCACCCCAGGCCTCCCTTTTCCTCCTGCCCCCCACCTCGTTGCTCTCTGTCTCCTTTATAAACCCCTGGCCCCAAAGCCGCGACTCCCCCACTCTGGGCGGTCATAGCCCCAGGGCCTTTCAATCCAGCCTTCTCAATCCTTCATTTACCCAACACTTGAACTCCCCAGTCCCTCAGTGACCCCCAATTCCCTTGCCCTCCTCATTCTTCTGAGCTGCCCTAGACTTCGTATCAGGGCCACCCTGTGTTCCCTCTCCCTTTAGCTTAGCGCAGTGCTTGGCACACAGCAGGTGCTTAATATTTGTTTATTGACCGGCTGAGGACCGCCTGGTCTTTAGTCCCCTCAGTACCAAAGCTCATTTATTTATCTCCCAATTTGACTCCTTCCTCTCTTCCTCAGATCCCTCTCTGCCGTCTCAACTCCTTCCTAGGTCCGTTGACATCAGAGTAGCTTCCAGGCTTCCTTGAATGTGGAGAACTAACCACTGTTTCTTCATCTCTGTAGGCTATCCACGGCTTCCGGGAGACAGAGAGGTCCCACTGGTCAGAGGCAAGCCAGGCCATTCTGCAGCGGGTTCGGGCGGCTGCTTTCCCCCCAGCTCTGGCCCAGCTTCCGATGGTTCACGTCCTGGATCTCCACCAAAATGGCTACATCAAGCCCCATGTGGATAGCATCAAGGTGGGCTGAGGAGGAGGGACGGAGGCTTCCACAGTAACAGGAGAGGCCTGTCTTGTATGATGGCTGCCCTTCTCTGGGATGGTAGAAAAAGCCAGGAGGTCTAGGTCCCTGGACCCTGCTCTTCCCCTTATTTGTGTGACTTTTGAGGAACCTATTTCCCTTTCTTGGAAGGAGAGAAGGAAACAAACAAACATTTATTAAGCAACTGCTGCGTGCCAGGCACTGTGCTCTTCTTTAATCCCCACAACAGCCCTGTGAAGTAGGTGCTATTATTATCCCCACATTAAAGTTAAGGAAACTGAGGCAGAGGGTTAAGTAACTTGCCCAGGGTCACACAGCTACTAAGTATCTGAAGCCAGATTTAAACTCAGGTCTTCTTGGGTCCAAGCCCAGCTCTCTTTATCTGCCAGCTTCATCTTGGGCCTCAATCTTCCCATCACTGAAATGGGATGATCTCTGGATTTCCACCACTCTCAGTTCTGACATCTTGTGGTTCTAATTCTTTGGCCAGTTCTGTGGCGGCATCATTGCAGGCCTCTCCTTGCTCTCCCCCAGTGTCATGCGACTAATTGACACTCAAGATCCTCAAGAATGGCTGGAGTTGCTACTGGAACCTGGGTCCCTCTATATCCTCAGGTAGGAGGACCTTAGGGCCAGAGGGGCAGAACTTCCAGAAATGGGCTCTGGGGCTGTATCTTAGACTCTTTGGGTTCTCTGTGTGATTGATTTCATCCTTTGCCCCTGTCAGTCCTAGCCAGTGGAATTATAATGCTCGCTACCACTCCCAAGCAGCATTGAAAGGGCACCAGGTTGGGCAGCAAGCCTGCCTCTCAGCTACTGACCCAAGCCTTTCTTGCCCTCCATACCAGGGGCCCTGCCCGATATGACTTCTCCCACCAGATCCTTCGAGATGAAGAGTCGTTCTTTGGGGAGCGCCGGGTCCCACGGGGCCGACGAATTTCTGTTATTTGCCGTTCCCTCCCTGAGGGGGAACCAGGCCCTTCATCTAGATGACCTCCAGTTCTACAGCCACAGGGCCTCTCAGGGAGTCCAAGGGCTTGTGCCCTGAGTTTTGTATAAAGTATTTATGAATAAAATTAGAGAAATGGTATTTGGCCGCTGGGTCTGGCTGATGTTGAACAAGAGAGAAGGGAATGCCCTCCCAACTGAGTGGATAAAGGGCTATTGCAGTCAGTCCTAAGGAAAAGAAGGGCTGAGCCTGGCACACAGCTAGTGCATAGCAGTTATAGCATTCGCCTTTTTATTAACAATGTCCCTCTTCCCCGAAGTCCTCCTAGTTTTCCATCACACCCACTCTGAAGAATGGACTTAACTTCCCCCTCAGTTACCAAGTCAATAAATGTCTATTCCCACATGTCTATGGGCAGGCCAGGTGTGAGGCTGCAGGATGCTGATGAGGTGGACACATTGGGCCCTGGCAGAGAGGAGCCACAGGAGGAATGCATTTTATATCCAACCTCAGAGAAGAGAAGGGAGGGAAGTGCTGGGTGAGAGGTAGGGTGGGTCTCAGCACTGCTGCCCAGCTTGGTGAAGGGATTGGTGGGCTTTGTGGATCGGGATAATGGGCCTTTCAGCTGTCACAGCTACAGGCAGCAGCGGAGACCTGGGGCAGGTGATGCCACTGCTGATTGTTGTCCAGGAAGGCCACATCTTCATATTGGGTGGGGTGGCAGCAGGGTTGGCCCATCACCCGGCCCTTATGTAAAAGCCTGGCTAATGTCATGCCATGGTGGGTACGGGGACTGTGGCAACTGCCAGCACAGTAGCGGAAGGCAATGATCTCATCAGATTTGTAGCCAAGGCCTAACTCGGTCACTGACAGTAGCACGCTCTGCAACTGACATTCAGGCAGTGCCCTGGATACCAGGGCTTCTGAAGCAGATGGTAATAAGTGGTCCCCTAGAAGAAAGGAGAAGAGCAAGGCCTGAGTTAGAGGGTAGTTGCAAGTAAAAGGTTAATAGGAGACCTGTTCTGGAGAATTAAGATGTCATATCATTCTGTCTACTTAGAGAACACACCAATAGCCTCCTTGCCTGCTCTGCTGGGGAATCCTTTACCTAGCCATAGCCGCTTGGTCCTGTAGGTCGGAGGCAGCTTTCCAGGTCTGAGGGGTGCATCTGAAGTTCCAGGAACCAGCCTCAATTCTCCAGATGTGGGCTCCTCTTCCAGAGGTGAGCCTGGAGGTCTGGGGACAGAAGGCAGTTCCCCAAGGCTAGGAGGCAGGAGCAAGAGAGTGAGCAGAACCAGTGCCCGGGCCATGCTGAGCTGTGGGTTGTAGGAGAGCTAGAGACTGAAGGGTTCCATGCACTCTACTATATCTCCCCCACCCCCAGCAGGAGGAGCTGGTCATAGCTGGGTGGGTGGCCCAGAACATTAACCCTTGTCACACCAGAGCCAGAAGACCTGATTGTTACCCAGCGTCGCTACCAGTTACTTCATAGCACTTGTCCTATCCGCTTTGGGCCATCAGTACTGGTTAGGGAAGAAAGAGTGAAAGCTTCATGTGTGGACTGTTCAGGGAGAAAGTTGCTCCCACCACTAACCCCCAACATTGAAGTCAGGCTGCTCCCTCCCCCAACATTCCAGAGCCTTTTCTGCACTATCCCTTAATTTATGAGACTTGTCATGAGGAAGAGTAGTAGCCTGTCTACCTTGGGCTGGCGCTGACATCTCATTGCCTAAAGTTTAGGGTAAGGAGGCTTTCCCTAAATCAGGATGACCAGAATGGACAGTGTCGGCCCATCTCTGTCCTCAAGCAGAGCTGCAGGGAATGGCAGAATAACCAATGGGAGGGGAGGGTACGGTGAGGACAGCCACATGTTCAACAGATGGTGGGAAATCCCTCCTCAAACCTTTCTAGGTTCCAGGGGATTAAGGCATCATGCCCCTGTCTCCGGGCCTGGCTGCTCCAACATCAAAACAGGAAACACCCATCACAGCCCATATTATCCCTTCATCATCAAGCCATAGATGGGACCAGGGAACTTGGCGCTCTTCCACCTCTCTCTGAGGGCTAAGGTAGAGTGAGGCTGGGGATCCCCTCCAGCCCTTCAGGGTCCCTGTCACTAGGAAGAGAACTAAGCTGTCCAAGCCCAGTCCCTGAAAGCATGGCCTGTGTGTAGGAGGGGGTGGGAGGATGAGGTGAGACAGGGTTCAGAAAAGCCCACTTGGACCTTCCCATATAAGGTGTGGGCAAGGAGATGGGGAACAGGAGAGGCTGCTCCTGGGAATGCCAGGCATTTCCCCACAATTAGCCTGACATCCCAGATATTCCCAGCAGCAGCCAACTGCAGTGTAGGGAGGGGAAGTTTCCACACCTGGACTCAGGACTAAAGCCCCTGATGGAAGGCTGTCCCTGTGGGGATGGGAAGGGGAGCACTGGATTTACAAGTCCCAAGGTCTGAGCTCCATTCACTGTCTGTGTTGAAACTAGGCCAGTCCCTTTCCCTCTGTGGGGCTCAGTTTCCCCATCTGTAGAGTCAGGGAGTTGGACTAGATGCTCTCAGGCCACTCTGGCTCCCAAATCCATAACCCTGGGAGTCCTGGTCTCCCCACCCCAAGAAGTCACACAGAGCCAGACAGAAAAATCCCAAGCAGCTTTTATTCCCCCCCAGGGGGTGGGGGCCAGGTGTGGGGATCTCCTGTGCCCAGTCTGAGCCCTGTGGCCCACGCTGGGCCTGGGCCTCACTCCTTGAGGGAGAAGTGCATCTTGTCATTAATCATCTTGCGCTCGGGGTTGAGGCGCTTCAAGATCTGGGCCAGCACATTGACTGTCTGGTCACTGCTCAGCCCCGTCTTCTTGGTCTGGAACTTCTTCAGCAGGTCTTTGGTGGTCATGGGCTTTCTGGTCAGGTAGCGTCTCACTGCGTCCTCTGTCACCTGCACGTCACTGTGGGGAGAAACACCAGCGTCAGGGGGCTGAGGTTCTTGTGCCCGCCCCGGCCCCCAGAAACCACTCCTCACTCACCCACTGCTGGGCGTGGATTTGCCAGACTGGGGCTGGGGGGGTGGACTTCCCCGATGTGCTCTGGGGCCCAGCATCTAATCTCAGGCGCTTGGCGGCAGGCGTATCACTAGGGCCCGTCTGGCGCTTCCCTGCAGGAAACCATCCAAACTACAGTGTCAGAGCTGGAGGGGTCTCTCAGATCAGGCTTGTCTACACCTGAACAGAAATCCCCTCTTCAGTCCTCCTCAAGTGGTCCTCTGGCCCCTCTCTGAAGACTCATTTAGAAGAAGAGCAGCAAGACTGCAATGCTAGCCCTGCTACTACAGACCCTCTCTGGGCCTCAGTGTCCTTATCTGATTCCTGTAGGGCCTTGTTTCCAGGACCTACACACCCTGGCCATCTTCCTCTGGGTGTGTTCTCCCACAGTGTCAACGTGCTTGTAACAGTAAAGTGTTACGGGGTGCACAGCACTTATAATTTGTTTCACAGGTTCAGATCTGTACCCACAAAGATACGTTCATACTTTTCCTAGGTTATAAATGATTTAATAATGGCAATAATCATAAATACACATGCACATAAATGTGATTACATATGATCATACAATCTTAGAAACAAAGACTATTAACAGAGAGATGAAGAAGAAATACATCACCAATCTGAGGAAGCACCAACTTCTGAACATCTGGATGGGGGAGTCCTGTATCACAGCCATCAGGGTCTCGATTGGGAAAGTCCCTATGGGTAGAGCATCCTCTCCCAGGGGACACTCCCAAAGCCCCTTTCCCATGAGACACCCTTTTTATCACCCTTACACAAAGGCAGGGAGCCAAGGAACAGGTGATTGATCCTAAGGTCCTGAGAGTTTTGGCCAAAACTCTCTGACCTCAAGAACAATCTTTATTATGTCAAAAATGTCTTGGGTCAATACCCAGGAACTGGCCAAGTCCCTGGATGTTTACCTCAAGACCTGTTTTTAAGGAATAGTTCCCCAAGGTGGTCTGGGTTGGAACAAATCCCAGAACAGTACATTAGGGAAGTTCCTTGTCCCTTGGCTTAGGCTGTGGATAGGGAAGATCTTATACATTAACCCTTCAGTCGGCCTCTAGATCTGACCTGTCCACGGACTGGGAACATCATCTCCTATGGGGCATACACAATCATCACCCACAGAGAGAGAGAGAGAAAACAAACCAATACAAAAGGCTTCACTTGTAAAAAGAAAAGGCTTGTAACCTTGCTGAAATGAAAGAAGTCAAGCAATTTAGTATAAGCCACTGAGAACAATTAGTAGGTACATATATATACACACTGGTTCTATTAAATAGAGTAGGAGAGTGAGTACCATTATCACAAGCTATATGTGTAAAATTAGGCAGGACATTAGTAAGATTATCATTATTGAAACACGAACAGGTGAAAGGGCCAATCTGGACCCTCCCCTCTGGGGATATTAAAATGCTCCCCAAATGCTGACTTTCCTTATATGTCACATTATAGAATGGATTTCCTGTGGAAAAGCAGGGAGTATTCAATAAAGGCTTTTGATCAGGTGATGTTATTAATGGGGAGGAAGCGTATGGTTGTGGCACTTGTTGCACTGTCTTATTCAGTCCACGCCCTATGGGAGGTTTCTTTCTGGATTGAGGATGTTCCTGGCAAACCCAACAGTCTCGTGGTCCAGTGGTTGCCACTGCTTCTCCCAATCGCACCAGTGTATTCTCCCATTGTGCCATTACTCTTCCAATAAGTATAAGATAAACTGTAAGACACTATTCACTTAAGAACAGTTGTGTTAGGGGATAATGGTACAATTTGTCACCTCCAGCAAATGCCACTACCACGGTACCATCCTTGCTCCTGCCACTATCTCGCCAGCTCGAGGCATATCAGAGGCATGTCTTTTAACCCATACTTTAGATCCTACTCTTCAATCAGCACTTCCAAATCCTCCACACCTGGTTGAAATTGAAGGTGGTTCTGCTACTTGCTCCCACTGTTCCTTGAAACAGATGGAAATTACTAATTGTGCCACCCTAGATCCCGCAGAACAAAGCATTGGTTCTGGACCAAGGTTTTGCATTATCACTTTTATTTCTCCCACATAATCTGAATCTATTACTCCTAAGATATGTATCCCCTTAACAGCGAAGCTTGACCAAGGAAGTATATGCCCAAGGCGTGTAGGTGGGATTTTTACTCCTATTCCTGTGGAAACAATAACTATCTTCCCTACAGGAAGATCTACAGGATTTAAAGTATGTCAATCATAACCAGCAGATCCGGCTGTTCCTAAGAAGGAGTGTGGCATGTGGATCACAAGCCCACCATTGTATGTTAGATTTTTCGGCCTCTGCATCTTATTTGAATATTAGGGTCATCATTCATCCTAAAGGGGTTAATCCCTCTTTTAGGCCAATTGTTTAGCTGTTGTAAAGCTTCAAATAAATTATCTTTCCAACTGCACAAGAATTGTTGCCAATTGTCTAAGTTTCTTTTTAATAACCTATTCATCCTTTCAATTAATCCCGCTGCTTGGGGATAATGAGGTATATGATAAATCCATTCTATATTATGATATAAACAACAGTGGTCTATTTCTTTTCCCTTAAAATGTGTTGCATTGTCACTTTGTATTTGTAGAGGGGATCCATAATATAAAGTAATGATCTATAGTCCTACAAGTATTTTTCTGAGTGGCATTCTTATATGGGCATGCACCAATACTCCAGAATAAGTATCTACAGGTACAAATATACCGGCAACCTCTGTCCAATGGTAAGGGACCAACATAATCATTTGCCAAATTTGGGCGGGCAGCCTTCCTCAGGCTAGTTCACCTTTCACGGTGTGGGGAACTGGTCTCTTCTTTTCCATTTGGCATATGGAACACTCAGATGGTATTTGTTTTAATAGAGATATCGGGAGGGAAATTCCCCTGTCCAAGGCCCAGCTGGGTAAGGCTTGGACTCCGAGGTGTCCCACTTGTTGATAAGCCCATTGCGCTAATGAATAATATTCCTGATCTTCTTGCTGTATTGTTGCTATTTTGGCTAGTTGATCCACATGTGCATTATACTCACTTCTGGGTGTTCACCGAAGTATGTGCATCTACATGAAAAACTGAAATGTTAGTATTATGAGACCAATCCCATATGTCCTGCCACAATTCTTTTCCCCATATAGCCCACCCATGAATTTGCCAATCATTTTCATTCCGTATGGGCATCCAAGTAGTTAATCCATTAGCCACAGCCCAGGAATCTGTAAATACATGGCATTTTTTCCCTTGTTCATTCTTTATAGCTGAATGCATGGCTATTAGCTCAGCTAATTGGCTACTTTCCCTGTCCTGTGTTTTCCAAAGTAACTCTTGTAGTAGGGTTATATGCCACTGCTTTCCAATGTCTTACTTGTCCTATATATTTAGCCGATCCATCAGTGAACCATGCATCTTTTCCTTCAGAATTTAACTTGTCATATCCCTGTCCCCATTCTACTAGTGAATTCCTGCTGGCTTTCGCTGGTGGTCTCTCATTTTGTGTCATTCCCAATTCTGAAATTTTTTCATGTAATGTAGAAATTCCTGCCTTCCCAGTCTTTGCTCTACTCTGAATATACCATTTCCACTTAATAATACTAGCTTCTTGGGCATGCCTTATTTTATGAGAGACAGGGATGCTAATTATCCAATGCATTATAGGAATTTTGGGTGCTAAGACTACTTCATAACCAACTGCCAATTGTTCTGTCTCTACAAATGCCCAATTCGCAGCTAAAAGTTGTTGTTCAAAAGGGGAATAATTTTGTACAGCAGAGGGCAGCTTTCTTGACCAAAATCCTAAGGGAACATTCCTGCCCTGTTGTTTTTGCCATAGGCTCCAGTCAGCATCTCCCACTTGGACAGATAACTTGTAATTCTACAGGGCCGTTTTCCATAGGCCATAAATCTAACGCAGTTTGGATTGCAGCTTTGCCTTCTTGGAACGCCTTTTCTTTCTCTTTCCCCAAATGAATTCATGCTTCTTCCTAGTCACCTTATAAAGTGGGTACAATATTTGTCCTAAATGGGGAATATGTGTTCTCCAATATCCAAAAAGTCCTATGAATTTCTGGGCCTCAGTTTTATTAGTAGAGGGAAGAAAATCTACTATTTTTTGTTTAACCTTAGGAAGTATTTCTCTGTGCCCCTTATTCCAGTAAATCCCTAGGAATTTTACTGCCTGTGCTGGTCCTGAAATTTTGCTTGGGTTAATTTCCCATCCTTTGCTTTTCATATGTTCTAATAAAATATGCAAATTTTCCTCTACCATTTGACAATCTTCACCTTGTATTAAGATGTCATCAATATGAATTATCTGCACTCCTTTCATTTTCAACTCATCTAGATGTTCCACCACTATCCGACGGTAAACAGTGGGGCTATGTAAATATCCCTGTGGTAGGCTGGTAAATGTATACTGTCTCCCTTGCCAAGTAAAAGCAAACTGATCCCACTGGGCTGGATCTATTGGTGTGGTAAAGAAGGCATTAGCCAAGT